TGGCAAACACCCCGCGTTGTCTGGGTCCATCAGGCGATGGAAGCCAACTGGCCCAGACAACGCGTGTTCAGCTGACGTCGACGATTTGCAAGAGCTTAAGCTATTTTTGATTCTTCGTGCTGGACTAGGAGCACTCACTGGTGTTGTCCAACACGCTGCAAATGAGCAGAGTTCACAACCACAAAGACAGCGATGTGGAATTGTGGGCCTGAAAATGGGCTGCTGATTGGGTATGGGTCCATCCACAGGCTTTTTGTTGGAGTGCCAACACAGCTTGCTCTGGAAGGAGAGAGGCGACTGAGCAGAGGAGGGAGTGGGAAAGCTGACCGCCAGTTAGCTTCAGTTGTGCCCGCGCGCCAGCCGTGGCTCCCCCATCGTGCCTGTATAGAGAGCGCCAGTCAGTCAGCTGCTGGCCGCGTCCGCAAATACTGAATCTGCAGGGGCTGGATGTCTGTGTCCTGTGGCGAAATCCCAAGCCCCAGGGCGATGGCCTTGGGAGCCGCTTGGGTTACGTGGGGTTCGTGTCCATGCAGAGCAGGCCCCGGAGAGATCCCTGGCCCCTCGCACCACGTGAGGATGCCCCGGAAAATGGCTTCCTTGAACCAGACTCCAAGAAGACATGGAATTCCCCAGTGCTGTGAGCGTGGACTTCTCCGTGCCCAGAACTGTGAGGGACACATGTCCGCTGGATGAGCCGCCCTGAGCACGGTGCGCTCTCCTAGCAGCTCACAGGCGTGGAGACAAATCCCAGCACTCCGTTTCTCCAGAAACTTATGCAGAAGAGGTGAGGCTGCCACGTGGGCCCTGGACACCTGGTGTCACTTTCACGTGGGCCTCTGTCCCCTGCGCCGCACTGCCTCTGTTCAGACAGCTGCTTCCCGGGGAGTTCCCGGAGTCGGAAGAATCGTCGAAAGCTCAGTCCTAGCTCGTCTATCTCCTGATGAGAAACCGTCACGGACTCCCTTTTCCTTGAAGTGGTGCTGCTCGGCTGTTCCCTGGAAGACGTGTCAGGTGTCGTTCTCATTACCGCTCTCTCCCCCACCTCTCCCCAGTGCAGAGAGCACGTCTGATTGCAGGCCGTTCAGGGCGGTTATTGTAGGCTGGCTTTGAGCCTGAGCTTCGATTCATGTGTTGAACCAGAGTTAAGAGGCTGTGGCAGAAACATGGTTACAATGGCCGACCCAAGCAGTGGCTTCTTATTTTCAAATATCCGGGAGTGTAGAAGAAGCCGGTGAAGCTGTGGTGTGGCTGCCTAATGGGTTTTTTTGGAAGCCCTGGCTCTCTCTGCCCCTGTGGCCACCACAGTTGGCCTGTGACTGATTCTCACGCTGGATCCCCCTCTGACGCTGTCATATCTGTGAGCAAGGTGGGACAAGATGGGCAAAGAGCAAGACAAAGCCAAGCAGGCAAGCCGGCGCCGTGGCTCAATAGGCTAATCCTCCACCTGCGGCACCAGCACACCAGGTTCTAGTCCCAGTCGGGGTGCCAGATTCTGTCCTGGTTGCCCCTCTTCCAGTCCAGCTCTCTGCTGTGGCCCGGGAATGCAGTGGAGGATGGCCCAAGTGCTTGGGCCCTGCACCCCATGGGAGACCAGGAGAAGCACCTGGCTCCTGGCTTCGGATCAGTGCAGTGCGCCAGCCGCGTCGGCCATTGGAGGGTGAACCAACGGCAAAGGAAGACCTTTCTCTCTGTCTCTCTCTCTCACTGTCCACTCTGCCTGTCAAGGAAAAAAAAAAAAAGCCAAGCAGGCATTGCCAGTGACGCTGTCCTCCTTCCTCGGCTGTCCAGAAAGACGCCCTCTGCTACCGTCTTCATCCCGCCGGCCACAACCGCAGCACATGGCCATCCACCTGTGGCCGATCTCCAAAGCTGAGCATTTCAATGTGGGGAAACCCCGCCCCACCCCCAAACCAGGGCTCTGCAAGTGAGAGGCGGGACGAAGGCTCCTGGGCAGGGGACAGCAGCTGCTGCCGTACGTACAGTACGGCCAGCACTTGTATTTCACAGGTGGCTGATGGTTCCACAGGAGGTCCCATTATCAACCCAGGAAACCCCCGAGAGGCCCACTGCCTGTTGAGAATGTCTGCCCTGAGGGTGGAGTCCAAACCCTAAACACAGTGTGTGAGGAGGGGTCTTACCAGCTTGACCCCAGCCGACACTACTTCTTCTTTTCTTATGATCTATTTATTTGAAAGAGTTTTGGGCATGGGGAAGGGGAAAAGGAGAGGGAGAGAGAGGGTGGGAGGGAGAGAGTGTGTGCTTCCACCACTGGTTCATTCTCCAGATGGCCACAGCAGCCAGCACTATGCCAGGCTGAAGCCAGGGGCTGGGAGCTGCATCCGGGTCTCCCCTCCACACACACAGGGGCCCACACATCTGAGCCGTCTTCTGCTGCTTCTCTCAGGCCAGCAAACAGCAGGAGGTTGGACTGGAAGTGGAGCAGCCAGGGTACGGACTGGTGCCCATGTGGGATGCCGGCATCGTAGGCAGCGGCTCTACCCGCTACCCCCAGCCTCTCTTTCTGAATTCATGTTTGGCCACCTCTAGCTCTTTGCTTCCACCACCAGACCTTTTCTTTACTTTTAAATGCATCAGCTTTCAGTCTCTGTTTTTCTGCAAGTGTCATCATCTTAGAGAATTCTCTTCACCTTCTCAGTCTAGCGAGATGGCGCTTACCTGGAAGACCCAGCTGCCTGCCGTTACACCACATCCAGGGAGAGCCATCGTGGGGCTCTGCGTGCAGCCCCGTTAGCTCACCTGCTCTTATTGGCTTGTGTATTTGTCACCACTGACCAATGCCGTGTCCTCTGAGAGAACAAGAACTGTATGGCTTCAGCGTCCTCTACTCAGTGCCCCCACCTAGTTCCTGGAATACCCCAGGCCCCTGCTCCAGGAAAGACACAACCAAGTATTATTCCGACATAGGGCGGCCTGCTCTCGCCATAGTCACAAAAGCACGCTGACCTGTGCCTCGGGCCCAGACCTCCGTGGATTACTGGCTGTCAGCAGAAACGCAGAGGAGACCTGGAGCAGGCCTTGCATTTTCCCTCTTTGTCTTGGCTGGCGACGGCAAGAGTGTGATGCTGTCATTTAAAGGTTTATTTTTGCATCTCCTGTTAGCGTCCGTCAGCTCTGTTATCAGAAGTTCTTCAGCATCGTCTTTCTTTGCACCTGATTTCTGACCCAGCGGGCGCCCTCACAAAAGCTGCTGTTTGAGGAGAGAGGAGCCCTGTTTAATCCACAGTGATTGGAATGATTTGGAAAGAAATTGCTGGTGTATTACTTTCAGGTCACTTGGCGGTTGGGGTATTTATACTTGGCAAATACTTCATTTGTCATTAGAGTTTAGGAAGAAGAAAGAATTGGGTGAGAATTCAATTGATCATAATGATAGGTCTAAGAGTCAAAGGGATCACACAAACAAGACTAGTGTCTGCAAATACTAACTGATAGAATAAAAAAGGGAGAGAATTATCCAACATGGGAAGCGGGATACACAGCAGACCCATAGAATGGTAGATGTCCTAAACAGTACTCTGGCCTCAGAATCAGCCCTTAAGGCATTCGGATCTGGCTGAAGAGCCCATGAGAGTATTTTAGGCATGGAAAGCCAAGACACTCTGAAAAAAAAAAAAGCTAAATGAAAGATCTCTGTGAGTAAGATCCCAGTGGAAAGAATGGGGCCATCAAAGAAGGAGGTACCTTTCTCTGAAGGGAGGAGAGAACTTCCACTTTGACTTTGACTATGACCCTGTCGGAATAAGATCGAAGTTGGCGAACTCAAAAGTAGCCTTGGCAACTCATGAAAAGAGCCTAGGGAGATTACTGAGGCCATAAACAAGAGCGTCAAATTGTTAAGTCAACAACAGGAGTCACTGTGTACTTACTCCTCATGTGGGATCTCTGTCCTTAATGTGTTGTCCAATGTGAATTAATGCTATAACTAGTACTCAAACAGTATTTTACACTTTATGTTCTGTGTGGGTGCAAACTGATGAAACCTTTACTTAATATATGCTAAACTGATCTTCTGTATATAAAGAGAATTGAAAATGAATCTTGATGTGAATGGAATGGGAGAGGGAGCGGGAGATGGGAGGGGTGTGAATGGCAGGGAAATTATGGGGGGGAAACCATTGTAATCTATGAACTGTACTTTGGAAATTTATATTTACTAAATAAAAATTAAAAAAAAAGAATTGGGTGAGAATAAGAAAGGAAAAGAAAGTGGGGAAAAACGAGATTGGCCCAGAGGTCAGAGGAGACTGGGGCTTCCTGTTCTCGTGCCACAGCCCCTCCCCTGAGGATATGCTGGGTGGGGCGGACGTCACTCGTCCATCCATCGCACTTCCCTCCCGAGCCAGGCTCGTGCTGTGCCTCCGGTCAGCCTGCCCTTGCTCCGGCAGGCGTTCTCCCGCACGCCCTGCGGCTGGGCTCCCCGACTCCCTCTGCAGAGAGAGCCGTGGGTGAAGGCAAACCCCAGGACTGGGTGCCCACTGCGTCCGTGCTGTCCTCGGCCCTGATTGTGCCAGGGGCGGGGCGCCGGGCGGTCAGAGCTGTCCTCACGGGGACGGAGGAGTGAACCGACGTCGTGTTTGTGTTGTTCTTGTCGCAGCTGTGTGCGGTCTGCCTCTGTCCCGCGTTACGCTGGTGGAAATAGCCTTGGAGAAACTAGGTCAGCGCGTGAGAGCTCACAGCTGACGCGAATGAGGATGAGAGCGGTCTCAGGCCTGTGGCTGCAGAGTCACACGGAAGGTTCTGGAGAATTACAGGCTTAAAATCCGCTCGCTGGCTTCCCCCCACGGCACTCGGCGCTCGCGCTTCTGACGACAGCCTCCATCTTTTGCCCCGGGTCTCGGGTCTCGGGAGTCTTGCAGACGGGGGCAGGTGCAGAGGAGATGCACATCACAGATAACAGCCCCACTTGCCTCCTTGTGCCTGGCAGGGGTGATTCTGGAAGACTATTCAGGCTGGCTTTCCTTGTGTCCTTTCTCCCGCAGGACATCGTCCCTACCAGGTGATCACTGCCCGGGTCCACCCAGGGGAGAGCAACGCCAGCTGGGTGATGAAGGGGGCCCTGGAGTTCCTGGTCAGCGGGGCCCCCGCGGCGAGGCTGCTGAGGGAGGCCTTCATCTTCAAGATCATCCCCATGCTCAACCCAGACGGCGTTGTCAGCGGCAAGTACGGCAGGCTCCTGGCCGATGCTTTCCTTCGCGGCACAGCCGTGTTCTCGCTGCGTTTCGCTGAGTTCCGTGTTTGGCTGTAATCAGGGCATGAGCCCAGCCCCACGGGCCTCCGGGTGCACAGTCTGGTGGGGAGTGGGCGGCGTCAGCTTTCTCAGGGTGTGTGGGTGGAGGCCCAGGGTGGCGGGATCCACGGTCACTCATCTCGTCTCCACCTCGGGGTTGGAGAGTTCGGCCCTGCCCATGGTAGCGGTGAATTCCGTTATCCAGGGATGGACCCTGTCTCTTGTTTCAGGAAAAGGAAGATAGAATGCAGAATAAGCAGAAAATATTGAAAAAAGTAATTTCATAAGCTGCAGATTCAAATTGTATTTTCAATTTAAAATATCAGTATTGAAGATATAAAAACATAACTTTAGAAAGAGAAAATAGAGCAGTATTAATAATGTGAAGCAGAAGAGATAGAATGAGAATTATAAAGAAATGCTAATTAGAAGGAGATACTATAAAAAGAAAACAAAAACTTCAAGGAGATAAAATTACAGTGACAAATACGAATGGTTTAAAGTAGGTGGAGCAGTAATTTCTTTAAGAAATGAACTGTTACACAGCTGAGAATAGACTGACTTCAAAGGATCAGCTCAGAGTAAAGACAGATAATTAAAAAGGCTAAAACTATAAAGACGATAACGGATAAAGAGAGGAATAGCACAGGTTCCCAGGGCTGAGCGAGGTTGCGCTGTGGAGACAGAATTCTCACGTGCAGGGGATGGGCTGTGGCTTCCTGATGGGTCAGGGCCTGGGGCTCGGAGCTCCCGGAGTCGTCGCCCTGGCACGGGACAGCAGGGACAGTGGGGCAGAGGGCAGGGTCTCTCCTTTGTCCCTCCCGTGACTGCTTCACCCTCACACATGGGAGGCCTGGGGGCCGTGTCCTTCACTGGGCAGCGCTGGTCAGACCCCTGGAACCAGGAACGCTTCCCAGACTCGGGCTGGACAAACCCTGGTCACACAGGTCAGCGGAGGGGCCCCTGCCCGCCTGAGCAGCTGTGGGATTTACCCCCAAGACTTCCTCACACCAATGGACAGAAAGCAGCCGAGCCGGCGTCTTGAGGCTTGATCCCACGTGGCCATTGTCCCCCCAGCCTGGCTGTCTTCTGCGGTCATCTTTCCTCCCGCTGGGTTGTGCGGGTTCGGGGGGAACGGGAACAGCCCTGGCCTTGAGCCCTGCCCCTGCCCCGGCTCTGGCCCGTCCTCTGCCTGCTGGAAGAGGAGGGCGATGTGCTTGCTGTCCACCGTTCTGGAAAAGCTCTCACAAGCCCAAGGCAGCATCCAAGCCTGCAGATGAGGTGCTGCAGTTGCTTCCGTTCCAAGGGCTCCTGCCGCCCGAGCAGGGACCCGCTCCAGGTTTCGGTTAAGGATTCCTGTGGTCTCAGACCCCGCGTGTCCTCCTGGCCTGGACACACGGTCTTTGCAGCTCACAGCTGGCCGCTTCGGGCTCCCAGATGGCAGGCCAGCTTACTCCCAGTGGCACCGGCATCCATCATCATTACCGTTATTTATTGTGACTCAAATTCCCCTTTCCATTTGTGCCGCATCTTTCATCCCGGATTCTCAGACACCTGCTGACCGCCTGGGCCAGGCAGACGATCCTGGCCTGCAGGGATTCGGAAGCCACGGTGTTACTCTGCTGATAGGAGAGTGCGCAGGCTGGAGCGTGTCGTCAAGAGGAAATGAGGCTGCCTTGGGTGCTTCGCGTCTCACAGCAGAGGCCCGACGTCTCGGCTCCTGAGCTGTCCTCAGAGCACCCCAGGCACGTGGTCCCCCACGTCAGCTCTGCGACTGCCACCCTTTCAGGGCAGGCCCCTTCTTTGTGAATAATAGGCGGATTGTGTGCTCCTGAGCTTGGAGCTCTGCCCCGCGAGCTGTGGGGTTTCCTTGGAGGAACCCTGGGTACAAATCTGACCCTCTCATACATGCTGACCTTCCCCGTGGGAATCCCTTGCCCAGCTTTCGCAAGTCCCCTAAATGTTTATGTGGTATTGCTTCCAACGCTCCATCTTCGCTGTTTTTTCCTGGGCACATTCTTGTTAACTGCCTGCCGCCTGGCCAGCTGCGGGTGCTCACTGTAGGAATCCCAGAACCTGAACCTGAACGCGGCACCTAACCTTCCAGGCCTTCTCCTTGACACGTAACAGTGGGCCTCTGAAGTTCACAGGGATAGGTAGAGGTGACGCTGACGGAGCCTCTGGGGACCGTGGGCAGGTTCTGGTAACAGTGACGGGCAGACAAAGCCGGAGCTTTCTAGACCAGGTCATGTCTGAGCAGGAAAAAATACAGAGATGAAGAGGTATGAACGTTCTACAAGAAACAGTTTGCCTGGTGGTGCGTACTGAATGGAGCTGAGTTCCGTGAGATTCGGGGCCGCTGAGGGCGTGGTTCATCAGCTATCGGGGTTCTGTTCGAGTGGGTCACGCGGAGCAGGGAGTCACCACCTTGGGTTGCGATGGAAGTGAAACGGGAGATTAGAGCAGAGAGTGGGAGAAGGCGGGTGACCCCCTCAACTGCCTGAGAGGTGGACACGATGTGGGTGGGACGGGGTGCGGGACGTGAAGTCAGTGCCAGGCCCACTGTTTCTTATTTTGGTGGCAGTGACACAGCCTGACATCGTCTGCCGACGGCGCTCAGAGCTCGGGAGGTTTAGAGTGTGCACATCACAGACTTACCGTCTTCCGTGGGCTGGAACAAGCAGGAGCACAGGCCGTAGGACCTACTGTAAGTCCACACGGCAAAAGCTGTGTGGGGGCTGTGGAGGAACAGCCGAGCGCACCGGAGAAGACGGTCGAACCACGGAGATCGGGTCGAGGCCCTGATGGTCACGGCAGTCGGGGTGTCTGGGGCTGTGCTGGCCCTTCTCCTGCGGGTGAAGGCTCCCCTCCTCCCCAGAAGGACTCTCGTGGGCTGTATCTCTCCTGGGCAGTGAGGAGCCCACTGCTGTTGCGTATCTTGTGTCATTTAGTCGTCCCTGTGGCCCTGCAACACGTAAGTCTTCTTTGGGGTCTCCGAGTAAGGAAACTGCAGAGCCAGAATCGGAATTCCTGTCTCTCCTGCCCTGCTTTGCTCTGAGTTAAGGAAATTAGAACTAAAATCTCTTAAAATGCTCTGGCCGGGAGTGTTCGTGCGCGCTGTGTGTTCTCAGCCCCTCAATGATGAGGACGTGGAGAAGCACGAGGGGAAAGTGCTATCTACGGTCACGTCGCTAGTTCAAGGTGAAATGGCTCGGAGAAACTGTCTTGGTGGTGCACACACGGCCACGCCCGAGGTCAATGGCAGGCTTGTTAGCAGAGCGGCGCTTTGAGCCCGGTCTGCCCAGCTTCAACTCCCTGTTCATTCCAGCCTTGGGCTCCTCGCAGCGTGGGATGGAGCTGCACAGAGTTGGAGCCCTGAAGCTGACAGACGCTGACGCTTGCTGACCCAGACGTTCGTGTGCGGGGGGCCCGGGGGAGCCAAGCACAGCACTCCCCGAGATCTGTCGTTTTGACCCAGGATGAGGCTCCCTGGCATGGGACTGAGTTCCCAGCTCGGTGCGGGCCTTGGCGCTCTGCCTGGTCCTGCCAGCCTGCTGCACTAGATACCTCCTCCTCGGTTACCGGAGGACTGGCTGCCAGCACCACCAGCTCACGTTGGATGGGGGTGGGCCCTGGGCCCTGGGCCACGGCCCCTCCGCGGCGTGTTCCCCCTCGGCTGGGTCACGAAGCACTTGGCTCTCCCTCCTCGGGCTCACCTCCCCGTGGGCTGGGCCGTGCCTCTTCCGTCTCGTTTTGGCCTCAGCTCTATTTTGAATATCTCTTGGCTGTAAAATCACACGTAGCAGTGGCTTGTAGATGTGGGGGTCCATTGCAAGTACAGAGGTCTGATTAGCAAGCAAATCCTTTAAGAACTTGTGCAGGAATGAAGCTTTGGGGACCCCCAGCAGACTGGTGAGCCGTTCGGTCCCAGCTGCGGCGTCCTGCCTCCCGTCTCCCAGGCGTCCTCGGGTAGCCTAGGAGAGCGCGAGGCTGCGGCTGCAGATGGCGCCTGAGCGTGCCTGCAGTGTGCCCTGCAATGCTGGGGGAAGGGAGCTGAAGGTGAGAGAGGCTTCTTCTAGGCCTCATGTGGGACTCTGTGGTCTAACTGTCGTGTCCTGTCGGTCACAGAGGGAAAGCAGCGTCTGTTGCGTGGAGGCCATTAGAAGAGGCCGTCCCTGACCGGCCACTTGACCGTGAAGACCACCGTGCAGTAACGGTCTCAGATGTCCTCTGCGTGGTCGTCTCTGCCATCTCCTTGACGCTCCAGCTGAGTGCCACGAAGCCTCAGTCTTGTTTCAGGGGCGCCATTGGGATTTAAGAAACTGCGGCTTGGTTACTATTGGGAAGGGGGAGGCAGCGACTGTGCACAGTGAGACGCCCCAGGGAACAGTGAATAATAAGAGCTGATCTCCTCCAAGAATTGCATGCAGTAAAATTGAGGCATTTAAAGGAGTTAAAATAGCTTCAGTGTTTTCTTTGCCTTTTTTTTAAAGATTTATTTATTTATTTGGAAGTCAGTTACGCAGAGAAGCAGAGATTAAGAGCTTCTATCCGCTGATTCACTCCCCAAGATGGCTGCCATGGCCAGGCCAAAGCCAGGAGCTTCTTCCAGGTCTCGCACGTGGGTGCAGGGGCCCGAGGACCTGGGCCATCCTCTGCTGCTTTCCCAGGTGCACTGATAGGGAGCTGGATCAAAAGTGGAGCAACAGGGACTCGAACTGGCGCCCAGCTGGGATGTAGGCACTGCAGATGGTGGCCCAGCTTCAGTGTTTTCCAAGGACAGCAAATCACAGAGCCAGGATACTGGGGTTTTGAAGACGACAGCTGAGGTGGGAGTCGGTTCACACCCCTTGGGTAGCAGAATCCAGAAGTGCAGGAGGCAGAGCTACGGAAGGTGAGAGACAGCGAACTGCAGGCAGCTGCCAGCTGTGGGAGGGGCAGTGCGCGACAAGGAGGGGTCTCCCAGAACCAGGGCTGCGGGCTCTCCATGAGGCTGGGTTTGGAGCTCTGGGGTGGGGACTGGACCTGGCTGGGCATCAGTGGACAGGGGACACTGGAGGGTGCAGGTGTCTCTGTGGTCCTGGTGCCGCTGGCCCCTTGGAGAGAGTACAGTGTGAAGGCAGGGCTGCGCCCCCTGCAGCCTCCAGCCGCGTTCCCTGGAACTGGGCCAGACGGGGTCTCTCTCTGCTTCTCTTGCCTTCCTGTCTTTTCCTCATGCCCCTCATTGGCAGACCTTCTTGGAATCCAGCGCGGGGGGAGTCTGCTCCCTGCCGTTTGCGATTTGGACCACAGGAGAAAATGAGCGGAAAGCACGCACTTCCTGGGTGCCCAGCACACACGAGCGTGGTGCTCGCCCGGCTGTGTGAGACGCTTTTGGAACACAGCGTGGCTGCATTGTTTCGTGGGCAAAGGATGCATCCTCGCCCCGGGACACTCCGCACGCACGGGGGAAGACGCTGCTGAGGGCCACCCAACCCCAGGAGCGCTCGGGGCTTGGTTCCGAGGGCTGCGTTCACACGCGTGTGCCCACCACACAGTGCAGCTGCGGGAGGCGCAAGTCAGAGAAAATCCCCCGGTCTCTTGTCTGCAAACTGACTGCTTCAGGTACACCAGCGGCTTCTTTAGGTATGTTTCTAGAACCATGCCTGTTTTAATTCACAAGATAATACATTTTAGGGTATAATTTATAAACTCACAGCATCTTCCTGTGGCAAAGGATACAAATGATATCATCAGGTTTTAATATAACAATCTCATGTTACTGATGGGCCATAGTAATTTAAACAACTCTCCCGTATTATAAACAATAGTTATTCTTGGTGAATTTCTCTGCTAATTTCCTTGAGATAAATTTTCAAAAGCAGTCAATTGACCCAAATGTTGGGTGAATTTATATTTGATGCAGATTATGGCCAGATTAATCGCTTTGGAAAAGGCCCAATTGGGGCAGGTGTTGGCCCGGTGACGGGAGGCTGCCCTGGATACCTGCATCCTGTCGTGGAGCGCAGTCCAACTCCCACTTCCTGCAGATACCCACCCTGGGAGGCAGCGGGTGACAGCTCAAGGACTTGGGTCCTTGACACCCACGTGGGAGACCTGGATTGAGTCCTGGCTCTGGGCTGTGGTCTGATGCAGCACTAAGTTAGGGGAGTGAACCACCAGATAGGAGCGAGCTCTTTTCCCTTTCCCCAAAATAAATAAGTAAATAAATAAAATTTAAAAAAAGAAAAGTCAGAGATTTAAATTCCTACCAGTAGTGGGTGTAAGCTCTGGGTCCTCATACCATTATTATCACTGTGCACTATTAACCTTTTGATTTTTTGTCAATCTGGTAGGCTAAACATATAATTTTGTACTCTGACTTCTACTTGTTACAGCTGGTTGAAAAGGAAGACATTTTACTCCTGCTTTGCAGACTTAAAAACATGAGGCAAACGGAGACTGAGGGACACACTGCGGGACACACCGCAGGGGCAGGGGTTCCATGCTGGGCACCCGGTGACCAAACCCGGCTCTTCCCTGGACTGTCAGCCTCTGCATTCCCACTTCCAGGCAGTCCTCCTGGCCTTGCCCTAAATGTGTGTAGCATAGCCTTGGGAAGTGGTGGTGCCTGGTGTGAGTGCCCTCAGGGCTAACCCTGGGTGCGCCTGGCTTTCTGAAGGTGATGTCATTTGAAACCCGCACAGTAGGATATGGGCACCTAAGTACTAGGTCGGGGCACCCAGCAGCCATGTCCTGCTACAGGTGAGCTTAGAAGGGGAAGTTTGCATCTGCCCCATTGGAGCTTCAGTTTTGCTGAGCTGTGGGCGTCGTCCTCACCAACACTGTTTCCTCCTCTCAGCTGTCACTCATGGTCCTCAGGGAACACCTGGGACGCAGCCCGGAGCTGGGGCCTATCTGGTAGTCACAATGGCCAGGGTTTGGTAGCCACGCCGGTCCACGTGGTCCACGGCTCCTGGATCAGATGGGAGTGGTTCCCTTGTCTGTAGATCCGCTGTTCAGTTGGCTTCTGGAGCTCCATGTGTAGGGGTGTAGCAAGGGCAGAGACCAGCACCCAGCTGCAGTAGGGCGGGACAAGAGGCCTCCCAGCAAGGCACTGTGCCACCCGGCGAAGCTTGGGTGGTGGCCGGCTGCAGGCCGTATGGGAGCGTTTGGCCTGCCCTGTGGCCTCTGCAAACACGGGGCACTGGCTGCATCATTTCTTCAGGGATGGCGTGACGCTGACCTCGGCACGGTGCTTCCTTGCAGACTCTCGTTCCTAATTTCTCCTTCCAGAGCGAGCTGGGGCAGCGCAGGCCTCCTCTGAGCCAGGCCCTGTGGCAAGTTTGCTGTCCTCAGACCACAGCCTCTCAGCGGAGGGAGCTCAGGTGTGCAGAGTCAGCGCCTTCTGCCCTGAGCTGACAAAGGCACCTGTGCAGACGTGGGCCTCTCGGTGGCTTTCATTGTTTCAAACCCTGCGGGATGGAGCAGAGTCAACACTGCGTGGAAATCTGCACTTTACTTGATTTTAAGAAAATCCAGGACTTTTTTGGATGCGTAGCAGAGGCTGTGTGTTTGGATGAAAATGTCAGACCAGGGACTGGCGCTGTGGCTTAGTAGCTAAAGCTGCTGCCAGGGATAGCAGCATCCCGTATGGGCACCTGCCTGGGTCCTGGCTGCTCCATGTCCAATCCAGTTCTCTATCAATGACCTGGGAAAGCAGCAGAAGGAGGTGCTTGGGCCCCTGCCCCTCATGTAGGAGACCCGGGTGAGGCTCCCTGCTGCTGGCTTCAGCCTGGCCCAGCGCTGGCAGTTGTGGCCATCTGGGGAGTGAACCAGCAGATGGAATCTCTCTTTCTCTCAAACAAATTAACTGAAAAGAGAAAAGAGGGCTGCGGTTCTGCCCTGTGCGTGGGGCTCTGTGAGGAGTGGGCTCAGGGTCTTCAGTCTCCGCCCTTTGCTCCCTCATGACAATGAGAAAAGACATGTGACCCAGGCGCTGTGGCTCTGTCCCCCGCCTCCTGGCCCCACTCAGCCACCCAGGAGGCTGCAGCGCCTTCCCTGACAGCCGGACGGCGGCAGGAATGTTCTCGTCTCGCGGCTTTTGTTCCCAGGTTCCTGTGTGGAGGACAGACGCGAATTTAATCTAAAAGTGCTGAGCTGTGTGCTGCCTTGAGCTCTTTCCTTCTGAGTTGCTCAGGAGTTCTCAGATCCTGGCCGGGAGGTGCAGGACATTGCAAGACCCCTCCCGGTGGAAGGGGCTAGAGAGGCTGCGAAGGGGCAGCGGGCTGTGCCTGTACCTCGCGGCTGGGCCCAGGCCGCAGGAGTCGTGTGGGCTCCGTGCCCGTACCTCGCGGCTGGGCCCAGGCCGCAGGAGTCGTGTGGGATCTGTGCCCGTACCTCGCGGCTGGGCCCAGGCCACAGGAGTCGTGTGGGCTCCATGAGCGGTCGGCGTCCGGGTTCTGGAGGGTGCGCGGTGCACTCCACCTTGCTGAGCCTGGCCGTGGAGATGGAAATGGAAATCAGTTGCCTGGGAACGGGGGCGGCACCGCTGCTCAGCCCTGTGCGCCAGTGAAGGGTGCAGGGTGCGGGGCTCCCCACGCCTCCCCCCCCCGCCACTGCCTGCACCCAGAGCGGAGTCGGGACCTGAGGACGCCATTGCCTTCTCTGACATCGCAGCTTCGAAAAAATATTACTATTTATTATTCCCAAATTTAGGGTTATTAATTATATCAGCATAAACCTAATTTATGCCATCATAAACAGCGATAATAAATGCTGCCAAATGCTAATCCCCAGCTCTCGCCAACTGTGCCTGGAGTTGATGGGTCCCCTCACTTCCCAGAAGCAGTAAATCAAAAATGAGTCCGCGTTGCGGAGCCATTGATCACGCGGCGCGGCTCCGGGGAAACGCGCCGGTTTTGTTAAAGGCTCCGCTCCTCCTCGGTGGCCGGATGACTGCGTGCTGGCGACTCTCCTCCCCTCCCCTCCTCCCACCCACGGAGGGGAAGCCATGGGGCCGGGGAGGCTGGAGGGGTCGACAGAGCCCCTGCTCTGAGTGCCCGCAGATGTCCCCCTTGGGCGCCGTGTCCCCGCGCTCTGAAGCTGCACTTGGAAGCCTGGGTGCAGGGTGGATTTGCTAGTCCTCAGTTTCCCTCACGCCCACCCCGCATTCCGTGATGTTCCCTGCGTGGCTGCCTGAGGCAGGTGCCTGCAGCTGGAGGGGCGAGCGGCCCCGGGGCACAGGGGCTCTGCCTTCGTGCAGGCAGAGGGAGCCCATCCCTGCTCCATCTGAGTTTCTCTCTCAGAGATTTGTTTGTTTGAAAGGCAGAGTAGGACACAGGGCGGGAGTGGGCGTGAGGGAACAGTGTCTTCCGCCTGCTGGTTCCCTCCCCAGAGGGGACCTCATTGCCCCCCCACCCTGTTCCTCTGCTCCCCTGGGCTCTTGTCCCCCTGGATGATCGCCGTGAGAATTCTGATCCGTAGACTCGGGCCGAGGGCAAATCCGGCTTCCTTCCAGCTGTGTGGCAGCGGACACGCACTTGACCTACTTAACCTTGCTCCCGTGTTTTCAGCTCATTAAGGGCACCTGGACCCTTACCAAAGTGACTTGCCGGATCACGATTAGCATCACCATCAATGCCCGAGGTTCAAAGCTGAGGACTGAGCCGGGCTTGGTGCCTGCGTTTCCATGGCCCTCACTGCTCTGCACGGCCAAGCAGAGCTGTGGAAATGGTCGCTTTCTTGCTTCCCATGTGTGGTGTCTCAGAGAGGTCCCTGGATGAGCCCCGAGTGGGTAGGATTCCGCAGGGAAGGCTTCTGAGTAGACTCTTGGTAAAGCTCTGGTCGTCCTTGTGCTTGGCCGTGATGGAGTGGCCCCAGGCCTGAACGAATTGTGCAGAAAACGCAGCAGGCGAGGGCGCCTAGAACGTGGGCTGCAGCAAGCGCCCTTTTCCTTTAAACAGACGTGGTCGGTCCATTGGCGTGGACGGAACGATGCGGCTCCTCTCCCTTAGCAACTGGCGACGGTGGGCCCAGAGCCTCCCTCAGGGCGCCTCTGGGGCTGTTGAGGGAGCCTGTGCCAGTGCAGCCTGTGCCAAGCCCAGGTCCCTTCTCCACTCCGCCCCAGCCTCGGGATCCAGAGAAATACAGCCAGTGGGAGCAGAGACTCTCTCTTCCACGGCAGGCCAGAGGGCACTGCCCCACCCAGGGCCTGATGCTCTGTGGTTCTGGAACCTTCTGCCCACCAGGTGGGAGCTATGAGCAGGACCTGTAATGGTTGGTGATGCAGGCCCCCTCCCCGGCCTGGCCTCAGGTGGCCTCTGCCTCGGTCACTTCCCTCTGAGCTGCCCTAGCCCTTGTGAGTGAGTCGGTGGCCCGGTTGCCCCATTGCCCTGCTACCTTCTTGCAAATGGGCCTCCATACGCTTCCTCCCCAGGAAGCGCGTTCTCCTCTATTTACGGCTCCTCCCTGCTCCCCGCCCTTCCCCCCGGCCCAGTAACGGCCAAGGAGATAAATAAGAAGCGTAACTCTTCTTGGCTATTATGTTTTTTGTTACTCTGCATGGTCATATATATAACAGGGAAACAAATCTTATTGCTGAAGTCATTACAATAAATAAAAAGTAACGGAGCCGAGCGGAGGGCAGGGGCGTTGCCAGAGCAGTGACTGATGTGCCGGCACCATCTCCCAGCCGTGCCGGCACCATCCCCGGCCCTGCTGGCACCGTCCCCGGCCCTGCTGGCACCGTCCTCCAGCCCTGCCGGCACTGTCCCCGGCCCTGCGGACGCTCTGCCTGGAGACGCGGCCTCCTAGGACAGCAAGAGCTCTCGGAACACGCCCGGGTCTGTGAAGGGGAGACACGGCAGAGATTCGCGGAGGGAGCAGCCCTGTGCCCGCCGGGACAGGCACAGAGCCGAGTCCCCTCGTCGCCTAGCCCGGGGATGGCACCAGACCCCTCAGCCCGCTGCCCTCTCACGGTCCACAGACCTCCCCTTGGCCCCGTTGTCCGCGGGGCTCCGAGCAGAGGCCACGGTGCCTGCCTTGGCGGGACACACGGTGTTCACCAGTCCCGGGGCAAATGGCCTTTCTCTCCAGCCAATCTGATTTTGCCCCACAGCGGTCAGCGTCCAGTTGTCCTCTGGCCTGCAGTGGAAATGTAGAGCAGTTATTTTTCCTCATCGACCGCAGCCATTCTCCACTCGGGAGAGCCGTCTTTCCCAGGCTTTCCTGTTGGAGCCGTCTCTCCCTCCGGACGCTGAGCTGTGTGCTCTGTGTTGAGCCCCAGCCCCAGTGTGGTACCACTGTGTGGCTTCCTTCCCGTCCCGGTGTGGATGGCAGGCCAGGCCCAGAGGCCTCGCCGCGCCGCTGAGTGTCACCCTTCAGCCTGGTCCCTGCAGCCTCAAACCCACTGATAAACCCATCACGTGGCCACGCTCTCCTGAGTCACCGTCAGAGCCTGGTCTTGGGCGCCAACACATTTGAAATCTGGGACAGGCAGAGTTTGGACAAAGATGCCGCCGCCCTCCCATCACCGCCATCTCTGCTGCCACCACCATCCACGACGAGAAAATGGCTGACATTCATCGACCACTTACTACACGCTTCCCGGCACTGGGCTCTCATCCCAGTGGCTCTCACCCCAGTGGCCACCCCCCACAGCCACCCTCTGCGAGCGTCCGTGTCATCCTGCCGTTACTCATGAGAAAGTTGGGGTTAGGTTGCAGCCTTGGGTAGAGAGGATGTGACCGTGGCTGGCTTTCTGTGTGTGGGCGGTTCCTGCCTGCTCACCACTGTCTGCCTGTCTCAGAGCCCTGTGACGTCACTGTGGAAGGGCAGCTGTGTCTCCAGGAACCCAGCCTCACTCCAGCGTTCTAGAAGAGAACCCAGATGCCCTAACGGTGTAGTGGGTTCTTAAAATTCTGAGCTCCCACATCATTAGAAGTAAATTTGAAGTCTAGGTCTGAGAGTCTCCCCCACTCCCCGGTGGCCATCGCGGGACGAACGTGTTTGTGGCCTTCGGAGACACTGAAGTGGGGGCTTCTGCGTGGTGCTGAGGAAGACGGGGAGCACATGAGCTTGGACACAAGTAGTAAAATGAAGGAGGGGCGTGCAGGAGGCCCCTGAGCGTTGGCAGAACAGACGTCTCTAGGCCAGCGTTTCGCAGACGTAGGCAGGCTGCGGGTCGGTGCTGAGAGACGCCTGCATTAGACAGCGCTAAAGCCTAGCTTTGGTAAGGGGTGTTCATTGCAGAACTTAGCAGTGCTGTTGAAATGTGAGCAGTCCTGGGCCCCGCGTGGGGATGTCAGTGGCCCTCCCGGAGCTGCTTGAACGGGGCCGCCTGGGTGATGCGCTCCTGGGTCTGGGAGCACAGGCGTCTCTTCGGCCCAGGGATTTCATTGCTTTTGGCTGTTACCCCAGTGGTTGGATTCCTGGGTCCTGTGGCAGCTCCTAGTTTTTCCAGGAGCCGCCATACTGTTTCCAGGGTGTCTGCGGTTATTACCTTCCCACCAACAGTGTGTGAGCGTTGGCTCCTTTCGGCACGCTCACCGGCATTTGTTGCCTTTTGTCTCTTGGTAGCAGGCGCGCTGCCTAGAGTGCGGCGGAATCTCGTGGCGGCTTTGATTTGTCTCCCCGATGCTTAGTGATGTTGAGCTTCGTTTCTGTGATCTTAATTGTCAGTCTGAATGTCTGCCTTTGAGAAATGCCTGGTCAAATCTGTCCATTTGTTGTTATTGTTATTATTTTGCTGTTGAGTTTGAGTTCCTTACATGTTCTGGTTCTTGACCTCTTTTCGGGTATAATCGGCGAATATTTTCTCCCGTGCTGTAGACGGTGTGTTCACTCTCCTGATTGTTCCGTTTGTTGTGCAGAGGCGCCTTAGTTTGATGAAATCCCATTTGTGTATTATTTCGCTTTTGTTTCCTGTGCTTTGTTGGATCTGATCCCAAAAGCTCTTTCCCATTCCAATATCCTGAAGTGTTTCCACTACGTTTCCTTCTGGGAGTTTCAGCGTTCAAATCTTACATTCAGGTTTTAATCCGTTTTGAGAGACAATGGTCAGGTGTGATCCTGCATGAGTAGTTGAAATTGAATGGTGCCTTTCTTTTCCAGTGTGTGTTCTTGGCACGTTTATTTGAGGTCATGTGGCTACAGATGCATAGGTTTGCTTATAAGGGCTCTATCAAAATATCAGTGACATTCTGCACTGAACTGGAAAACACACTCAAATTTGTATGGACAGCTACGGAACACCCTGAGCAGCCAAGGGGGTCATGAGAGAAAGCAGCAAAGGAGGAGTCACTCGGCACCTGACTACGATCTATCCCAGGCCTGCAGGAAGGGAAGCAGCATGGGGAGGCATACAGCAATCCACAGACCAACGGGACCGAGCAGCAGTTCTGAACCGGCCACTGTGAATCCAGAGTTTTGTGCAGTGTGCCTGGTGTCTAGTAGCACTCCACAAAGGCCCAAGAAATTAAGATACAAAATGTAAATAAAGCTATATAAAAATAATAATTAGTCATGGACTTCATAGTCAAGACAATGAAGATGGAGAGGACACAGGAATGTGTTCTCTTCCTGACGAATCAATGACAGCCTCGGTGTCTGCAGGCCCGTGTCCCCACACTGCGTTTCTGGTGTCCTCTAACTGTGCAGGCCTCTCTAATGAGCAGTCTACCTCTTCAGGTGTTTGGCTAAAAAGCAAACGAGTGAAGTTCAGCCCAGGTCAAGATGCACGTTGGATAGAAATCTCCAGATTTTGACTGGTTCCTCTGAACTGAATTGTGACTTTGATAAGATCTAGGGGAGCTGTGTGCGTGAAGAGATGGCCTATGCTGATGTGATGTCAGGATATTTGATGCTGGCATAGTGGAATTTTTTTACCCTAAGTCCAGTGTTGACTGAACATGCCCAGAGCTTGGGCTGTACTTTCCAGTGCCAGGGCACAGGATCCCCATGCCTGTGGGCCTTTACTGGGAGGGCTCTCTCAGAGGGAGATTAATTAGTGTCTATCACCTGTGGTAGCAAGCCCAGCGATGCAGACAGTGAGACTCCCTTCAGCGGTCATCAAGGTCACTGAAGCCCCTCTGATCTAATGTGGGAAGGCTTTTTCTTTTAACGTAATTCAGTATCTAGCTATTAATCTAACCGTCTTGACACTGAGTTATTGCATGTTCTAATTCAGTGGATTTGCCATCAAGAGGCTTGCCCGTAATGCATGTAACACAGTGGATATCCCTTGAAAAACAATGCATTCCCCTTGCGTGAGTCACTTAAAGCGACTGAATAGCACAGAATTGATTTTATATCCAAAGGAATATTCAGAATCACTTGGCTCAACCTAATCTTTCACTTCGTGATTTGATGCTATTTGTAAAATTTACCCAATTTCCTAGCAGATGAGGTCAAGCCCATTTGGCCAGTGGTATTTCCATGAACGCACTTTCTCTCAGACAAAAACCCCATCCGTGTTACTCCGCAGAGTGAGCTACCAAGGGCTGCATTCCTATGACTTGATTACGCAACCGTGAGCTCTTAGGGGACCTCGTGCCGGCCCAGCTTCCATCCTGAGCTAGAAATGTCTTTGTGCTGTCCACGCCGTGTGGTTGGAGTCCGTGTTCCGGCACCGCCAGTGTGCAGCTGTGGGCCTCTCCCGGGTGTGTTCTGTGCCTGATAGTCCTGTTACAGGATCAGCTGTTGAACCATCTTAAAACATCTCCCCTTGGCCGGCGCCGCGGCTCACTGGGCTAATCCTCTGCCTGTGGCGCCGGCACACCAGGTTCTAGTCCCAGTTGGGGCGCCGGATTCTGTCCCGGTTGCCCCTCTTCCAGGCCAGCTCTCTGCTGTGGCCAGGGAGTCCAGTGGAGGATGGCCCAAGTGCTTGGGCCCTGCACCCGCAGGGAGACCAGGAGAAGCACCTGGCTCCTGCCTTCAAATCAGTGCAGTGCGCCGGCCATAGCAGCCACTTGGGGGGTGAACCGATGGAAAAAGGAAGACCTTTCTGGCTCTCTCTCTCTCACTGTCTAACTGTCTGTCAAACACACAAACAAAAAGAACATCTCCCCTCAAAGCTCCTACTCCGGGTGCCGTGACTGAGCGGGGGAGCCGCTCCTCGTTAGACAGAGCTAACGACCACTGTGATGCCTTCCCCCAGGAGTCTTCCCTTCCCCAGGGCAAGCATCTGCAACCCCTCAAACACGTGCCTGTGGCGTGGTTTGGACTCTTCCACACCTGAGGCCTGTTTGAATCGCCTTGTTCATCCATCCGTTCAATAAATGCCTGCTGCACGTCTCCCGGGAGAGACACTTAAGTGTGTGTGAGGTGGGCACAGAGCAGGGAACAGCCCGGCAGTGTTAGGAGTGACTGATGGCTGCAGAGAGGCCTAGGAAGGGGCGCCTGCTTACCCCGTGCTCCAGGGCTGCTCCTGAGCCCTCTGCATGAGAGTAGGGGGAGGGTTAGGCAGCCCCAAGGGGGTGCGGGCAGCCGGGTCGGGGGCCCAGAGAGCTTTCTACGGGCAGCACGTCCAGAGTCCAGTCACATCCCGGTCCTGGTTTGCTGGACGGCTCAGGCTTCAGATGGTCACACCACCATTCAGAAAACCCAGATGCTGGCCCGAGCCTGAGACCAGGCTCTCCTGATGCCTGGACCACGGCCGCTCCCTTCAGTGCATGGCTGAGGGAAGCCGCTGATTCCTGTTTTCTGTTAATCACCACTGACCTGCTGGTTTCCTGCTGCGTCACCGTGTGTGTGGTTGACCCGGGTGGATGGAGTGCCTGAGGTCACACTTACCAGGTTTTCTCCGGGGAGACTATGGGACACTTTGAGCCTTGAACCTGATGCCCACTTGATGTGGCTGGCTGCTGATTTCATGGGCCTTCAGCGCTGACAAGAGTTCTCCCGTGTCTTTCACGTGTCATTGATAGGTCTGCTGAGCTCGAGCGAACCACGGACACTGTACAGGAAGACGTGGATCCCGTTAGTTGTGATCACTCAGCCTCTTCCTACTCCATTTCAGAGCCGCCATTGAACCGGTCTCTGCACAGCTCGCAAGGATGTCCTGAGAGACAGCTCCTCGCTGACAGCCGCGGGGCTCCGTCTCCTGTCTAATCGCCTGCCAGAGCGCGGAACGCAGC